TTTAGAGAAAATTAATTTCTTTTGAAAGTTTTATGAAATATACAAATTTTTTAAAAGTTAAAATGTGTATATCTCTAATTAGATAGCTAGGGATTGGAATCCACAGATAAAACAAAGTCAGGGATTCTATATTATCTTTGGAAGAATGGTCTTGCATCTCTGAAGGGAACATTAATTTGTCTCCGTGATTTTAATTGGTTTAACTCAGAAAGAGTACTTTCTGAGTTAGAAAGAGTACTTTCTCTTTTCGATTTCATCTTATTTGTGATTATATTGCTTGAGTAATATCTGTCCATTTAGTATTCAAAATAAATATGTTAATAGTCTTAGAATTACCGACATTAGACCTTGGGGATGTCCAAATGTCTCTAGGTTCTAAATGTAACCTCCTTAAATTTCTGCTCCACATCCCAATAATATGGAATTATCCCAACCCTGTTTCTATGTAACTTCTGTTGTAAAGTCTGTGAATCTGTCAGTTTTACTGAACAAAGTTATGAAACCACAGAAATGATCAACTATACTTTGTTGTGGGTTACTCTATCACAATATAGTAGTCTCCCTTTCAATTTAGAGAAATTGTACATATCCAGTGTATTTCCTCTATAATATCCTTCAGCTTCACAGGCTCATGTTTGCACTTTCCTCTTGTTAAAATTGCAGACAAGAATAATTTTAATTTATTGGTGACATCTAATATAGCTGTGTTTATATTGTTGCCAATAAAATGACTTACACGATTGGTTTTTGTTTATACAATCTTTTCTGAGGAGTCAGTCACCTGTGTTAGGACAAGGTACATTCTGCTTATTAAAATGAACTCCCAGGATCTAAGAACATTCAGCTCTATCTGTCCTTGATTGAATTGCAAAATGTGCTTCACATTGCAGCCGTGCATGAGAATAACTTATATTATCTATCAATAGGCTTTTCATTTCTATATTCTCTGGCTATAAAAGCTGTAACTAGAGAAGCCTATGGGAATATCATGGCCTATTAATGATCAAGGCAGGGATGCTGAAAAGGCAATGTTAATGAAATTATACAATCATTAACCCAAAAGGAAAAAATAATAACTCTGTTTTAGATGTCTTAGACATATATATAAGAAGCCAGCTCAGGAGCAGTTTGTTTGCTGACCAGTATTTTGTGCCTCATTATCAGGTTTTCTATGCAGGGTAAGAAATGCTTGTGGCATAAGGAATGGAAAATGTAACAAAGGCTAAATGTAGCCTAAGGAAATGAAATGATGTATGAAAATTAATAATTAACTGGTTCATCAGATGAATTATGACTCTAGATGAGTTTATTAATGATATTTACTAAGTAAGGGCTTTTGGCTATAAATAGGCATTATTGAGCTCGTGTTTTTAGAATTTTCTTGAATGGATGAGTTAACATTGCTTTTTGTTTAGTTAATCTTTTAGTTCATGAGAAACAGTGCCTGAGCCTGGGATAGAAGATAGTCATGATTTTTGTATTTTGATTAAAGCCATAGGTTTTCTAGAAAACTAGTGAAATTATTAAATGGTTTTGTGCCTTAATTTCTTTAGAAGTTAAGTAATTTCCTCTCTGACCTGACTTATAGGAGTGTTTTGTAAGAGTTTGAAAGTGGTCAAAAGGAAAGACTTATTAACTATATGTTGACTCATATAGCAGAATGAATATTTTCATTGTTTGAATGAATGGAGTATTAAAAATCTAAGTGTATCAATACGTCAGATCTTAAGTACCCAAATCTGTACTTCTGGATGTTTCTTTCTTCTTCTTCTACTTCTTCTTCCTTCTTCCTTCCTTCCTTCTTCCTTCTTCCTTCTTCTTTTTCTTCCTTCTTTCTTCTTCTTCTTTTTTTTTTTTTCTGTTGATACCCTGACATGGAGTAGTTGGATGGAGGACAGAGGAGAAGGTAATGCTGGAGAACTTAAGTTTTTAAATAGAAAGATGCTCTTACAATAGAATCCTACCAGTTAGTTGTTGATACTGATTAGTTGTGATTTTACTATTTGGCAAAAGGTAGAAAAATGTAATTCTAATATTCATTTTTAAAAATAAGTGTTGTCTTTCAGTGTTGCTGGCATGAGAGCCTCCTATCAGCTCTTGCTTTGATGGAGTGAGTAGATTACTATTTTTGCTTCCATGTCTACTCAATTTTTTTTTTTAAATTTAAATGCCATAGGTATAAAATCTACATACTTATCCTTGATCATGGTAAATAGGTACTTTTGCTAATCTTCCTTATCTTAATTACCTGGAAGAACAGAATTTCAAGAGACTGTAGTGATTATCACCAACTTCCTCATTATATGGATGAAAACTTAAGTTCAGAGACGTTATAAATGATTTGCTAGCAGTAGAGCTCAGGTATCCTGACTTATAGTTGAGTGCTCTTTTTACTGTGACTTAAAAGTTAGCATCTTATTCCTTTTTTGTTACCAAGTAGACTTAGAATTATACATGATCATATGGCCTAGTTAAAAAATATATAAAATATAATATGAATAGACAAAATTGATTTTAAATTCTGGTATATACTGCTTGACAAACCTTTTGGTATGATTAATACAAAAACTAGGTCATTAGGCATATTTTCACATATAATTTATTTATTTTTTGTCTTGAGGCTGCTTTTTCCCAGCTCACATGCCATTGACCTATCGGTTTTTCTTTACCTCTTGGTATTAATCACTTTACTTTCTGGCTGTTGCTTTTTTAGTAATAAAATTTAAGTACAGTTTTGTTGTTGTTTTTCTCTTAAACTAAAGCTAATTAAAACAGGAGTACAGTTTATAAAAAAATAAAAATAAGATAACTATCCAGCCTGACAGGCAGATATGAATGTCTGATAATCTCAGTGTTTCAATTATTTTTCCTTCTTACAGTCTTACCTTATTAATGATTTAGTATAATGCTAAGTATCTATTTATGTGTTTTTATCCAGATTTAATTGATTATAATTCCTGCTTGTATATGATCTTGCTGCCAAAAATGATTCCCTTATTTTTAAAAAACTTGGAAATGGGCATAGTCTGCAAATCTGCAGACACTTGTCACTGGGACCATCATCTTAGTGACTCATATTTCCAGTCATGTTGGATGATTCCTCATTTTCAACAAATTGCCAATACAACATATTTATTTTGCCTTCTTTTTTGGTTGGTACTGAATAAGGGCTTTCTTCTGCAGAGTTCATAGTGCTCAGAAAACACTATTTTATCGATGAGTAGAGAGTAGATGACCAATGTAATCTGGCAAAGCACAGAGACATTAAATGATTCTTGCCCACAATCAACCCGTAAAACAGACCAGATGGTAATATACTCTAGTTCTTCTAAAGGGACACAGCAGAAAAGGCATTGGAATTTTTCCAATGTAAAAAAAATCTTACAACCTATCTGATACCAGGGTTTATTACTTATTATTTCATAAAGAAACTTAAATGATGTAGGTTTGGATAAACCTGGATTTATTTGTTCATTCTTGGGAGCTATAGTGAAGGGAAGGGCAAGAATAAGACCTAGGAGTGCTTCTGAGGACTAGATGGCATGGCAGTATTAAATGTGGCAGACTGGTAGAATGAATAGAATAGCGAGCTGGTAAAGATGAAGAAAACATTTCAAATTTTATATTGTTAGTAAGTTTTGAAGTTCATCAGCATATGGTCACACACAGTCAATTTTGCAGAAGGCACAGCGAGTGCTTGACTTGAAAATTAAATATTTTTGATTTTCTAAAATGATAAAAGAAAAACACCTCTTTACAAGAAGTTTGCCTTTCTTGATATCCTGTCCTTGATGATTGATGGAGCCATTCATTTGAGAGTTGAATTGGAAATAGTTGTCTAAGGCATTGAGTGGGTCATACAGAAAATGTAGAAATTACCCAGTTGAGGATATCTGGGTACTACTGCTTTATGCCTAGTCTGTATTTTCTGTGTTTGTTCAACTTTGGCTTCTTCCCGTGACTGTCGTGTCTATATAGAAAAATAGATTGTGACTGTGTTTATTATTCATTAAGAGTAGTCACACTTAGTCACCTCATTGACTAAACATACATTTTTGGGAGCTATTGATCAAGGGAGGGAACGATTTTTCCTAATAATTTGTAACCAGGGAATACCGACATTACTGCATATGGATGGATGATAATGTCCTGTGGTCATGTCAGTACTTTTGTTCTCATCTGCTACTTGAAGAAAGGGATAGTGGGGTTGGAGATGGAAGCTTGATGTAACTATCATCGATTTAGCATTTGCGGCATATGATGAACATACTCACCTTTAGAAAGGCCGTTCTTTTCTTTTTCTTTCCATAAAGCATTTTTTATAGACTTTTCCTTTTCTAGGATCTTAGTAGAAGGTGAGAGTATTGTGATGTTGATTCTATTCAGGATTGATATGGAACCAAGACTTTAATACTGCTGTGAGTATTTGGATATGTGGATATATGAAGCCTTTTTGAGAGCCCCAGGCCCATGTTTTTTCTTTATGAGTCTAGGGACTGTGAAAAATTTGCTCTTAGAGTAAAAAATCAGAGATGGCTTAATATCCTCATAATCTCATTTAGAGGCTATATCTGCCATTTCTTTCTTTACTGGAACCTTTGACGTATAGGCCTCACAGCTCATGAAGGTGATTCGTTTTGGTTTCCCAAGACTCACTGTAGCAAAAGTGAGTACGAACTGATCCTCTAGGGAGCAAAATAAGTTTCATTTTGCAAGCTGGCACCAGCAGATTGGTTATAGTTGCCAAGAGCACTGTATTGAGAAGGGCTCAGTGGCAAACAAAACAATGCAGTGATCCATAATCCATGTCTACCATGAATGCAGGAGGAGAGAGTGCCTGCCAATGAACCATGTATTTGATGACTCTGCTCTACATAAAAGGCTATTTTGCTAAGAATACTTCTTTTCTTCCTGAGATGAATCCTGCACAGGTTGAAAACTTACTGTAACTCTTTTTCCATTTTGCTTTTAAAAATGCCTGCATTTATTTTTTTAAACAGGCTAATAACTCACACCATGGATAACTTATTGGACTTTGCCTGAAAGGAGTCATTAGTGCCATTGGATATTTGATCATCTTGGGCACAGGTTTTTTCAGAATGAATGGAAGGTCATGCAGCATGAATCTCCACCGGACGTCAGGAACCCCACAGGGGCCCGGAATGGTCAGTGGCCAACACATTCCTCCCATCCGAGCCCACTCGGGGACTCCTGGCCCCTCGTCCTGTAGCAGCACACCAAGCCCTGCTATTGGAAGCCTTGCTAACAGTCTCCATCTCAAGATGCCCTCGGGAGGAGGGATGGTTCCTCAGAGCAACATGGCTGAGAACCCCATCCATCTGCCGGCCTTGAGCCCCAGGAGACAAGTGCTCACCAATGGAAAGTCACGATTCCAGGTTACACAGGCCGGAGGCATATCAGGGCCACATACTTTAAAGCCAAAGCAGCAGGAGTTTGGAAGTCATTTTCCTCCAAATCCTGGGAAAGGTAGGATTGTCTTTCTGGGATCTTTGAAAAGTGAAAACTATTTTTTTCTCTCCCTAGTTCCTTCTACCAGAAAATCCTATGGAAAATTACATGATTCAATGTCAGGGTCAAAGTTGATGGTTTCATATAATGTATAGCTTGTTTGGTGACGGGGGTATATGTACGTATATGTGAGGGTTGGTGGGACCACAGTGGTAAATGTGATATCTCATGGAACAGTGAAACAGAGTGGAAGATAGAAAGATCAGAAATGAAGTAGAGTGATAATGGTGGTGGAAG